GGCAGGGGGGGGGGGAGGGAGTTGAATTTTAACTATAATTTAAGTATTGAAAGTCATCGTAATTTTTTTGATTAAATGCGTATTCTCAAGAGCAAGTTAACGTATGTTTTGTTTTTGTCACTCTTCTATTCCATTGGTCTGCATAGGTGCATTTTATTCTTTTAGCTGGCCAATGAAGCCTCTTTGGCAGTCATGATTCGCTCCGAATTAGCTCGGCGTGAGGCATTGGAACTAGAACTCCTTCGTCAGCACGGTGCAGCTAAGATTGCTCAACTCATCCGTGAGTGGTGGTCGGGAATCTCCAAAGCCCCTGGTGTGGCCTCCCTCCTCTCGGTACATGACCAATGGCAGTCTACTCTTCAACAAAATCGGCTGGCACTCACCCAGGTAACTGACACTGGGGCCAATTGGTTATCCAGCGCAATCTCTCGCTCGGTTTGTCCAACTCCTGGTTCTATTAATCTAGTCTCATTTCTTGATGATGAGGAGATGGACGTGGATTATACTCCACCCCGAAGTTCTTCTAGCAGTATCACGAGTGAAAATCCGTCAGAAGATCCAAGCACCGCCTTCAATCTAGACTGCTTTGAATGGGGTTTGAATTCAGAGGCCTTTACGACATTGGACTCTTACTCCTCACAACATAGTGAAGATGAAGGAGGTGATTATGAAGATATTGATTCAGTGTCTAGCAGTCATCTTTCAAATGGATCCACCTCGGAAGAAGAATTAATTGGACTTAGGTCTGATGCTGCTTTGCCACTGCATGAAGTCCTAGAGACTGCCTTGGATAATGGATGGACACCTCAGCAACGGAGCACTGCTTTGGAAGGCATGCTTTGCAATTTTGATTTAGACTCCTCAGCGACGGATTTTGTGAGTGCCTTGTTTTGATTTATCATTTTTTGTGCGCTCTTAATGCCTCTAATTGGTTTCTATAAATAGTTCCCGTCTTACACGTGGAACCACATTGCTTTATATTGCGTAATATTGTTAGTAATTTGTATTGCTTTATCTATTTGTTTTGAGCACTTGTTTTTTTTTTATTATGGAAAGAGGATTAAATTTTCTTTAAATTATCTTTTCATTCAATTTCCCAATAACCTATCTCATTGACCCCAACTTGTTTAGAGCTTGCCATATGTACGTCGAAATCAGGGGCTTTCGTCTACCCTTTACGTTTTCAGTAAAACAATAATAATTTCCCTTGGGTGTGAGAGAAATGGAATAAGAAACATCGGTGGTGTGATTACTTGTTAGGGTACTTTAATTTCTGATGTGACGAAACCTTACGCTTATCCCTGGTTCACCTTTATAAATAATTTTGAAATGGGTTACAAGTCACCCTTTCTGTTTGTGTCAAATGATGCCAATTAAGTTTGTCTTAATTTGGACTGTTCGCAACTCCTGCTTCGAACCCCTACGTTAATTTTTATACAAGATATTGTTTTTTTTTAGATCAGGGTTGTAAACTTCCCTCAATTTTTTAGGAATATATATATATATATATATATATATATATAGTTTACTCAATACCGGTGTCTATCTACTTTCCAGCTGTGCATCTCGATTCTAAATATTTTTGTTAGTGTTTGCTCTTTATACATATTTGTCCCCTAATAGGTTTAATGTCATCGAACATTCAACATTTTAATATAATCTTGAAGATGTAAGAATTCTACTGGCAATGAGAATTTTTTAATCAGGCACAATCTGATATTTTCTGAATTTGCAGTTCTTGTTGCTGAAACATTGTTTCTGAATTGGCTCAAGAATTTAGAACTTGCGTTTATTATGGTTACTATTTTCTTCACATCCCTGTTAGGCACGCATTTTCCTAACTACAAATCTTCGAATGTTTAGGCCACTTCACTTAGTTCCATTAAAGTTTAGTTTGAATTAACTCTAATGCACCCTACTATTATAAGCACCTTAGATAATTTCGGCTATTAGAACAGACAAAAAATCGAGATATCTTTATCGGGCACTCAGTTTACTTAATTGCTCCATAGGCTTCAAATACCAAGGATTTGAGCTCATGATCCTATGAGTCAAGTCCTTAAATCCGAATTGTGGCACATTAGAGCACTATAATAGTGAGCTTTATCCTTTAAGCGGTCAATCCAAAAGCTGTACTCATTCTTCTTGTCTCCTCCCTTTTCATTGCCCTATCAAGCGACTGTACTACTATCCACATGTAAGCGCTTTACCCATTATTAAACTTGGACATTTTGCTTTGCCTTGAGTAAAAATGCTCCGCGCGTGTACATTGTAATCAGGTTTTTTGTTTATTTCCCATATGGGGATTACTCGTACTTTGTGTAATAGTATTATTGTTAATTCTGTTTATGAGTAGAAATCCCGTTTTTGAAAACTTTGAAGTCTAATCTCATTATCATTACGTTTGTTTTCAATTCTATACAAGTGCTGCGCACGAATTAACCAGCTTACATTTTGTTACAGAATGTTTCAAAATGTGACTAAGGCTTATAATTTTTTGCGAAATTCTTGTGCTTATTCATTTCCATCTTACTTGATTTCTCCTATCTCTCATTTTTTTTATTGCCACTTAATGCGACTGGGAATGCCGAGGCATTTGAAAGTATGATTAGAATCTCTGTTTTTCTAATGCACGTACGTGTATGCATTAAAGTTGAGTGAAAATAGCTCATCTTTCTTTGATTCAATATCTTAACAGTTCTATTCTTTGACCTAGTGGGAAAGGGTGAAATTGTTGCTTTTTTGCTGTTGGTGCGTCAATATTATGTATGAACCAAAATCAACTGATATCTAATAGCTCATGCTAGTTCATTGTCTTGACTGTAGAAATGATTCTGATCTCTTTCCGAATTCGGGTTAGTATAACCTCTTTTCTTTTCAATATTAATCTAGTTGATCTTGGGAATCTTATCTCATTTAAGTTATTGCTTCATCTTTAAGGCCCCTCTTATTCTATGGCTCGAATTTTGCTAAGTACAATGACAGCCACTATCTGGTTAGTTTCGCGTCTTCAAATAATCGAGAGTATGTAGCTGTTTTTAAAGCATTTGAGTTCACTGGAGTTCACTTAAGCTTCATAAAGAGATTATACTTCAGCTTTAATCGCGTCTTGTTGATCTGAATAATTAAATATCGAGTAAACAAGTATAGCAAATAGACAAATATAATTACTAATAACTACCATTTTCTTTAGAAAAAGGAGGAGGCTACGTCTGTCTGGGGATAAAGTACTTTGTCTTTTAAATAGACAAGATTCATTATAAATGAAACTAACACAAGACATCTGATTTTATAATGAAAATACTAGTTTTTTTCCCCATTTTTAATAAAGCATTATATAAATTTTGAGGCAATGGGAAAAATGTAAACTATATTTACTTTAAATGTTAGATGAGCTAGCTAATTGACTCCGTCTTTAAGTCGAAATCTTAATCCTAACATTATTTAATTTTCGTTTGAGTAAATCAATTTATTACAAAATATTGCTTTTAGGATTCGCCCTACCAGGTCACAGTTAATGCCCTTCGACATGAGGCTACTCTTCCACTCCGTCAGCTTCTACCCCCTGGCTATCATCCAATCTCCACTACATCAATTCCCCTTGGAATAAACGGCTCAGATGGAGATAACGGTGGCGTTGGTGTCGCTCTGCGTCGTCGACAACCTCCACGTCGTTCTAACCGTCCGAATGCCGGTGTCCTCCTAAATGGTTCTTCCACTCACGAAGACTCATTCACCAATGATTCCCTCATGGACTGTATAGATTATAACAATGATTACCTCGATGGTGAGGGAATTTCGGAGGCTTCTGGAGACGGGGGTTATGTTGAATTGATGGAAGTGGATGGTTATCCCTCAGATTCTGAAGTGTCTGTGGCGTCTTCACTGGTTACGTGCCTTAATGGGGAGACACTGTGTGTTCCAACGCAGCCATCTTTTCCACCTCTCCCTCCGTCAGAACTGGCGAGAAGGGCAAGGGCTTTAGAGGCCTTGAGGGTGCAGACACCCACAATGAAGCTTATGCACTCTAGACTGTCGGCCTTTGGGCCTACTTGTCGAGTACCCTTTTTGCCTACCCCTAGTCTTTGTGAGTTCTCGTTCATTCTTTTATCCGTCTACTTATCATTCATTACAACATCTGAAAATGTGGTATAGTTAGATAAATTTATTTATATCAAATGGCAGGCGTTTTGATAGTTA